GTCGGTGAACACGAGCGTCACGGGGTCTGTCGGCTCCTTCGGCGCATTCGCGTTGTTACGCGAGTCGCGGCGTAAGTGCACCACCACAGCCACAACAACCACAATGATGGTGACCAGAATCGCCACGCCGACGATGATGCCGATCAGCTGCTGCAATTTCAGCCCATGTGCAGCGGGCTCCGTGTACCGTATCAACGGGGTCACGGCGGGGAACAGCACGGGCACGGCGGGGTCCAGCGCACGGGCAAGCGACCACACAGAAATAAGCGTCGCCCCGTAGTTCTTACCGCACCCAACACCGTCATCTGCGTCACACGCCGTGCCGTTAGCGAAGGATCCGTACAGCATGTCGTTCACAGTGACAGCGGTGTTCCTGTAGAAGAAGTCTACCATCAGCCCAGCAGTCACCTTGTGCATACGCGAGAGAACAGTCTGCAACAGCCGCACGGCAGCAAAGCCCGCCAGCGACAGCGGCGTCCTTTGCGTGGCATTGGTCAGAATGCTGATGAACTTCTGGGTAGTCTCCGACGTCGAGTTCGTGTCGTTCCAGTGTGGCAGGCTCATCGCGAACACAACGCGGTCGGCACCCGTACCGCCGGCGAACGCAGCGACGAATTCGGCGTACAGCAGCGCAAACTCGGAGAACGCAACGAACACACGCACACCGCTGTGCGACGCCACGTGCTTCGCGATCGCAGCGACGTCGCCAGACGCAAGGCCCGCCACGAACACGACGCCCTTTGCCGGCAGGTGACCCGCCAACGCGGCGCCACCGGCCAGCAGCGTCGGGGACCGCAGCGACCCGCCAAACGTCACCAGCGACCGCCGCAGCACATCCGCCACCGCAGCTGCCTCCTCGCCGCGGATCACCGCGTGCGCCGAACGGACACTCGTGTTCCCGAGGTACTTCGCAAGCACGAAGAACTGCTGCTCCAGCGTCGGCGACAGGTGGATCACGTGCCTGCGGAACCTGTTCAGCCGCGGCTCAAGCTGCAGCGGGTCGAAGAAGGCCACAGTCTCCACATCCAGCACCGCCTCCGTCACAACACCCGCAACTCCGTGAACACGCCGTGATTGCATCTCCGACAGCAGGGCGTTACGGGCATTGCCAAGGGTGGAGATGACAGGAGAAAGGTTGACCACACCCTCTCTCCAAGATGTTTTTCGGTTCGTATACTCCAACAAATAGCCGGCCTCCAACTCGGCAAGTGCAGTTTGTGCAACAGCGCTATCAGTCATTACAAACTCCACCGCACTAAGTACCGGCGGCAGATGTTCCTCTTGATGTTGACAATCTGACAACTGAAACGTCATAAACCCCTCCTTAACTGCCTCTGCTCGGTAGTCCTTCACAAACTGCTTCATGTACACCGTGTGGCCCCCCTCGTTGCAGTTGCAGATGGCTCCTTGTGATGCCGCCGCACCTTTGCACTCCCCACCGTAGTCCCCAAACACAAGGTCGTCCACCACATACCGGCGCTGGTTGAGGAGGGACGCCATAAACGACTTGCGGTCACTCACCCATTTACGGTTACTCAGCGCCTGCACGAGCAACTCGCCAGTAATCCACCCATCAACCATCAACTCGCCTTCAGTATCATGCTTGAGGAAATGGTCCGTATCGTTATAGTCTTTTTGCCCACTGTTTGCCAGGTAGTCCTGCATCACCCTCTGGAAGCGCCAAATGGCAAGGTACTGCATGTCCTTTGCCAGCGGGTTCGTCCCCGTCGTGACCACCTGCCCGGGCACAAACTTCACACCATCAGCAACGGCAGCACGCCAAGCCTCCACGACAATGCTCTGCACCGCCGAGGGAGCCAGCAGGTACGCGCCAGCGGTGCGATCGTCCGTCAGCATATTCCTGACGAACTTCGCGGTGTCTGGTATCGGCGAGCCAAACACAATCACAGCCTGCGGCCGAGTCGCAGCAAACCGCTCCCACGCAGCACCAAACTCATTCGGGTTGGTATCGCCACTCAAGAGAAGCGTCACACTGAACACGCCGCAAAACGTGTAGCCCATCTCCGACATCACACGCTGTGCCTGCTCATACTCGTTGTCGCCAAAGAAGCCCCCCTGCAGGTACATGAAGCCCAGCCGAAGCACCCGCAGCTGAGTCACGGCGTAGCGGAGAAGTGCCAGAAGCTCCGCCACGGGATTAGCACGCACAAAGTACACGTTGGGGTTCCACCCACGCACCGCACTCGACCCAGTGAACGGGGCAAAAGAGACAAGGTCAAAGCGAGACAATACCGGCAGCACAGCCTTCAAGTACGTATCGCCGAACTGAGTCAGAAGAGCGACAATACTTTTTTCCTTCTGCATCACTTCCTCCAGGACAGTAGAAAATTCGGTCATTTTTGCCTCCCTTCTAACAACCTCAACATAAACACCCTCCTCATCAGCATGGTTGTGTGCCCACAGCGAGGCATTTACGCCGGAGTAAAAAGCGGTAACCATAGCCTTGGGTGAGGTAAGATCCAATGCCCTCATCTGCAGCACCTTCACACGGGTCTTGGAAACTGCGGATTTGGAAGCTGCGCTGTGGGGGGCAAACAGCAGCAGCAGCACAAGAGAGATAACGGCAAGGCGCGACGGCGCAGCAGAGGGCCGCAAGCCCAACCGCGCACGGCCGCCTCCCCGCCCCCAACGTACTGCCATACCCGTTGCCTTGCGCCTCTCTTGCTGTGTCGCCTGTGAATTCCTACGGCAAAGAAAAAGGGAGAGACGGCGGACACGGTGCACAGGGAGCAGAAAAGGGCTGGTGAGAGCATATGGCCACACGTGCGGCCGTCAATGCACTCGGCGCACAGGAAAGCAACGAATGCGACGGAGACAAAAGTCGTAGGGAAAAGAACCTCTGCGAAGCAAAGCGACAACAACACCCGCTCTATCCCAGGAGGAGACGCCAAGGAGAAGACGCACTTCCACATGCCACACGCGCCCCTTCACGGCCGTTCGCCAATGCGAGCCTGTGCTCGCGAAGCATAACGCAGATGACTACGAGCCCTCACACGCCCGCGTTCTCCTGCCCTCCCATCCCCACACCACCCATAATCCATGACCCCACCTTCCATTAATCCATCCATCACCCCCTGGAAGCAACGGACTGCCGCGCGCCGGGTGTCCTCCGCCAGCGGGTTTCTCCCCTTCGCAGCCAACTACCCTGGCACCTTCAGTCTTTCTCCCTTCCGTCAATTGTCCCGAATTGGTTCCCTGGCGGTGCGCCAGTCAACATCGTAAAAAAGTCTCTTTGCTGCCACTTGGAGCTGCGAAAACGAGCCCCAGCCCACAGCGGGTGGGAGCCGCAGCGGTGGAGCGTGAGGCATATGCTTCCGCCACGCACAGCAAGCGCCGCAGCGCCCCGTGCTCCTCCCACAAGCGCTCGCAGATCTGACCTAATGAGTGGGTTCCGGCCCGCCACGTCGCGCCGTGTGGGTTGGCTGCTCGTCGCGGGACATGCAGTGGCAACTGGACCCACACCTGGCGCCACGCTCAAAGCCGCATGCTGAACATCGGAGATCGACAACTGGTATCCCCGCTGGGCGGCCGCCGCGGGGCGGGGCGCACCTTCTCTGCGGCCGCATCCTTTGCCCCAACCAAAACGGCAGCAGTGGGGATTCAACGAGCCGGTGCGTGCCAACCGTCTCTCACGCACCGCACGCTGTTCCCTGTCGCCAGCCCTCCTTTCACAAATAAAAAATTCACCTTCCGGAGGCAGGGGGTTGTCCCGGAAGGCTTCCTCCACCTCCTTTTGCGGCCCATGTTTGGCTTCGCAAGAGCGTTTCATCACCGCGTTTGGGCGCGGTGTCTCTTCTGCCGCCTCTTGCGTCCGTGCCACGCAAGAGGAGGCGGGCCCTCCACACCACCGGCCGGCGCATCACAATGGGAGCGTTCCGCCCTTCGCCTCGGGGCCTGCGTTTCTTCCTTCGACCGGTGGTATGCTCGTACGCAGGCAAAGGTCCTTTCCTCGCCGAAACCCCGCACCCACAACACCCAGCAAGAGGCCGCCGGGGAATGTCCTTGGCTGGGAAGGCGCAGCAGCCAGCCGGCGTGCGGTCTCCGGCTCGAGTCCGCGCCAAAGGCGGTGGCTCCGAGCACCCCACCGGTGCGTAGCGTCGCGGTGACAAGCCAAAGAGCGCGTAGCAGCCGCCCGCATCCGCGCGAAACCCCCGCTCACAAAAGAGCCAATGCGGCTTCTTCGTCTTGTGCGAGACGGGTGGAACTCATGTGCACGACCGCTCATTCGACCGTTGTGGTGAGGCAGTGGGCAGCTGGCCTGGGCCGACGCGCCCGGACGGGGTGTCGGGCCTACGTGACCGCGCCGGTACCCCGTGGATCCGCGGGCTCTGCACGGTCGCGGCCTTCCTCGCCGCCGCAAACTTAGCAACACGGCCCCGCGCCGGGGCGAGCACTGTGAGAAAACCTGTGCGCAGGCCGGTGAGGAGGCAGAGGGCGCCCGCGACAATTCAGACCCCGCACGGTGCAAAATGCGTTGGCGGGGTGGCGCTGCATTGCTCCTTGAGGCCGAGGTGTGCCGAGCTGTGCTTGCCGCTCCGCAGCTGCGCGGCCTCAGCCCCGCGCCGGCAGGAACAGACTCCATGGAAATGCCGCAACTATTGCACACGCCTCACGTTGCACAGAGGCAAGTGTGGAGCAAGACGCCTGAGAGACGCCCCAATGCCCTCCGTGGTCATCGCCCAAAGGCAGGGCAGAACCAGCGCAAGGCATCTCACGCCCGCCCACATGCGCACAACACGGGCGCTGCTCGTGCCACGGCAGTTTCGCCGCGTGGTAGCCAAAAAAGTTGGAAAAAGCGCCATAGAAATTGCGGCGCACACAGAAGAGCTGCTCAGCGACGACGAGCCCCGCTGCGAAACCCCTCGCGCGAAGGCCCACGAAGAGGGCGCCGCGGCCGCAGCGCACCCCGGCGTCCCTGGCATTTGCGGAGCACCGCCAACCCACGCACGCCGCCACCAAAAATCGACGGCCACCGCGCCTCTACAATCGGCCCGCCACCGTCGACTGCCGCAACCACATTGGTGCACCCCAAAACCAAAAAGAAGCTGTACATCCAAGCGGTGGGTCACTGCAAAGCTCACCTTGCGGCGCAGCAGTTCGTCACGGGCACTGCGTTCTGCCAAGTGAGGTGTCTTCATTTTCGAAGCGGCGCCGTCAGTCCTCAACCCCATGCCCTCGACGAAACCGCAGTTGAAGCGCGTTGCCGCATTCGCTTTAACCGTAGCCTCCGTCATCATTTTGCGCCGTATTCCACGTCCGGTCAACTCTGACTTCACCATCCCATTTCATTCATTGCCTCGTAGGTTACCCCAAGAGCATGCGCAAGCCCACGTGTGGCGACGCGAACGCCCCATGCCGAGGCAGTCGTGTACGCCGGGTTGAACTACATGGCGCCAACGGAACGGCGCAAGTCACTTAACGTGGCACGCACGTGCTCGCCCACGCCAAAATATCGCATCGGAACAGCCC